GGGGGCGTGGTGGAGAGGGGACACCTTGCTCGGGGAAGGGGGTAGGACCTTGGGTTTGCCGGAGGGTGCCGGAGTGGGGGCCGGGGCGAGGTGCTGAACCGGGAGCAGGGGCCGGGGGCAGGCAGAGAGCGCCGGCGCCTACTCTGTGCCTCGGAGAACGCCCAGTGTTCTCCGAACGCTAGGGTGATGGGGGGAGGATTTCCTTCTGCCCACATCCTTCCAACTCTTTCAAATCGAGGTGGTTACGTCTGGCTCTCAGCTCTTCGGAGACGTACACAGTGTGCAGTAGGTGCTCAGCAAAATTTTGTTGAATGAGGGACTGTTGCCTGTGTTCTCCACCCCCTGTGGCTGCTCCAGAATTTCAGATAGGCGGGGCTTAAGATAGGCCATTTGGTTGGAAGAGAGGAATCTGGAAGCGGCCTTTGCTTAACAAGTGCGCTGTTTTTACTTCGAGTGTGTGTTTTGTTTTGTTTTGGAAGGGCTGATAGGATTTGGGGAATCTGACCGGAGGCGGTGGTTTACGCCTGTAATCCTAGCACTTTGGGAGGCCGAGGAAGGACGATAGCTTGAGGCCAGCCTGGGCAACACAGCCAGACCCAGTCTCTGTTAAGAATTTGGGGAGTCCAACTCTCCCCCTGCCAGCCTTTGGTGCCATCTCTGCTCCCTCCTCAATCATATAAAATTATTAAATTTCAGAATTTAAATGCTGTCTTGTTCCTTGCACTCTCATTGAGAGGCAATGTCTCTGGTTAAGAGCCTGGACTTTGGTGTCAAGACCTGAGCTCCAGTCTGCCCAGGGCAAGTTACCTAACCTCTCTGATCCTCAGTTTTCTCATCCTTAAAATGGAGATCATAATTAATATATTGAACTGTTAACTTGTGAATAGTTAGTGCTCAGTGACTGGCATCTGTTTGTTGTAGTTGTGAAGACAACAGTGGAACAGAGAGGGGAGACGCTTGAGTCTGAACAGAAAAGGCTGATGAAGGGGGACAGAAGCTGGGTTGGGGAGGCCAGTACCCTCACTGGGAACTAGGTGGAGGGATCGAAGCCAGGGTGTCAGATGGCAGCAAGGGCTTTGTAGGGTGGGACACTGGAATGGAACTGAGAGAAGAACTCCATAGTCCTTTTCCTTGGTTAAGAAAGGAGATAAGCCTGGGTGGGGTGGCTCATGTCTATAATCCCAGCACTTTGGGAGGCCGAGGTGAGAGGATTGCCTGAGCCCACGGGTTCAAGACCAGCCTGGGCAACTCAGCGAGACCTCATCTCTCAAAATAAAATTTAAAAAGTAACTGGGCATGGTGGCACGTGCCTGTAGTTCCAGCCACTTGGAAGGATGAGGCGGAAGGATCGCCTGAACCCAGCAGGTTGAGGCTGCAGTGGCCATGAACATTGTGCCACTGCACACCAGCCTGGGCAACAGAGTGAGACTCCTACTCAAAAAAAAAAAAAGAAAGAAAGAAAGAAAGGAGATAGGCATTGCAACTGGAGGAATGGCATCAAGACTACAGAAAGGACTTCCCACCACTAGAGATGGGAGCAAGGGAATGCTGAGGCTCTTGAAGAGGCAGGGTCCCTGGAGGGTGGAGCCCAGGCAGCCTCCACAGTGACCTCTGCCTCTTGATCACAGTTCAAAGAGGAAATCTCCCGGAGGTTTAAGGCTCAGCAGGATCAGCTGGTCCTGATCTTCGCAGGCAAGATCCTCAAGGATGGGGACACGCTGAACCAGCATGGAATCAAAGACGGGCTCACTGTCCATCTGGTCATCAAGACCCCTCAGAAGTAAGTGCAGGAGGGGCGCAGCCCCAGCTTCCCACTGGGCCTCCCCAGCCGATCCTGTGTCACCACTGCTCCACTGTGCCCCTGGGTGGATATGACCTCATCTGAAGGAAAGGGAACCTGCCTTATCATGCCCAGATGTCCTGAAGACAGCACTAGCTCCTTCCTTCCTCTCTTGGTCTGTGTACTGCCCTCCAGCATCACCCACGCCAGCCTCAGGCTTGCTCAGGAGTCAGTGTGAGTTAGGGCAGTAGCTGCACAACAAACACAGAGATCATGGTGGGGGCTCCCCTGTGCTCACTCCAACTAGAGTTTTCCTTTCTTTGTCCTCAGGGCTCAAGATCCAGCTGCTGCCACGGCTTCTTCCCCCTCTACTCCTGACCCTGCCTCAGCACCCTCCACCACGCCTGCCTCACCCGCCACCCCTGCCCAGCCCTCCACGTCTGGCAGTGCCACGTCGGATGCTGGCAGTGGAAGCCGGAGGAGCAGTGGGGGGGGGCCCTCTCCGGGGGCTGGGGAGGGGCCTCCCAATGCTACTGCATCCATACTCTGTAAGCCCAAAGGGAGGAGAGTACAGTCTTGTTTTGGGCCGGAGAGTTGGGGAGAGCCAAGGGGAGGGAGAAATGTGGGCCTTGCTCCAAGTCTGATGGGGATAGGGGACCCCTTGACCTAGGGTTCTAGACATTGTGACTTGAACCAAGCTGGGGAGGACTTCCCAGAGGGAAGGAGCATGGCTGAGTGTTAGGAATGAGGGAAGGGATGGAGCTGGGGGGTGGGGGACACTGGGAAAGGAGACGGGCAGATCCTGTGAGTCTGGGGAAAAGGCGAGTCCAGCAGTAGCCACGTGGGGAGTATTGATATACTCACCCAATGGGCCATCACTGGTTGCCTTCTTGCTGCTCAGTTCTGTGCTTGGCTCAGCCTCTGCCATCAAAGAGGTCTCAGTCTGGTAGGCTCGCATCCGTGGCAGCAGCGGACCAGGGCGGAGCTGTGGGAGGGACTGAAAGAGGAAGTCTTGGCTGGGGTCCATCCTGGAGACCTGAATTCAGGGTCTCCAGCCAGGCGAGGGAAGGGCTCTTGTAGCAGTCTGTGACCCTGCCTCCTCCCCACAGCTGGCTTTGGGGGCATCCTGGGGCTGGGCAGCCTGGGCCTGGGCTCTGCCAACTTCATGGAGCTGCAGCAACAGATGCAGAGGCAGCTGATGTCCAATCCTGAGATGCTGTCACAGATCATGGAGAACCCCCTGGTCCAGGATATGATGTCAAACCCTGACCTGATGCGCCACATGATCATGGCCAACCCCCAGATGCAGCAGCTGATGGAACGGAACCCGGAGATCAGCCATATGCTCAACAACCCTGAGCTCATGAGGCAGGTGAGTATGGGAGAATCCAGAGGGGTGAGGCCCAACCATGCCCAGCCTTTCCTGTTCATCCTACATCTGTTCATTTAGTCATTCAGCAGCCTTTTTTTTTTTTTTTTGAGTATGAGTCTCACTCTGTCGCACAGGCTAGAGTACAGTGGCATGCTCACAGCCACCACAGCCTCAACCTGCTGGCCTCAAGTGATTCTTCTGCATCAGCCTTCCAAGTAGCTAGAAATACAGGCGTACACCACCATGCCTGGCTAATTTTTTTTCTTTTGATTATAGAGATGAGGTCTCATCAAGTTGCCCAGGCTGGTCTTGAACCCCTGGACTCAGGCAATTCTCTCATCTCTGCCTCCCAACGTGCTGGGATTACAGGTGTGAGCCACCTTGCCTGGCACAGCCATGTTTTGAATACTGGAGGTACAGTGACGAAAAGACACAGGCCTAGCTTTTCAGGAATTCCTCATCACCAAGGGAAGTGGAACAAGGAAACAGGCAGTTGTAATCCAGTGTGGTTAGTGCTAGCATAAGGGTAATCACAGGATCCCCTCACAGCATGGAACAGGCCTCGTGACTCCTGACCCTACCCTGGGGCTTAGAGAAGGCCTGCTGGAGGAAGTGTCACCAAACTGAGACCAAAGGAGGAAGACAAATGAACCAGGAGAAGGAAAAGAGAAGGGCATTCAGGAGGGGGACTGCAAGCACAGAGGCCTGAGAGTGAAAGCTGGGATGTTTGGGGAGCATTGTGCCGGGCAGGGCTCAGGAGAGAAGGGAGACCAAGGGGCAACCATCTTGGTGTTGGTCTCTGGGAGCTCTATCTCATGGTCTCCTCTACCAGGAACAGAGATAGAGGGTCTTTCCAGAAGAGTTGTGGACACCAGAGTTGTGGACTCACCAGGACACAACTTCTATAAGAGCAAGGATATTTGAATGTTTTGTTCACTGCCTCGAAGAGGGCCTGGTACATAATAACCATTCAATAAATATTCCTTGAATGAATGAATTACAAGAGAGATCAGAGTCCTGTGTGAGGCTGGGTGTATCAGTATGTAGATGTCTTAGAAGAGGCAAGTGTAGAGCAGATCTGGGAAGAAGAAAAGGGAAGGTTTTCCACATTGGATGTGAACAAGAAGTAGATAAGCTCCTTTTCTCTCATGAACTCCCCTGGGGTTGACACAAGCCACCCCTTACTGAGTACTGAGAGTAAGTCATTGGCTCCACAGAAGAAAGCCCTCTCCTCGGTATTTCTCAAGGTTTGGTCCAGCCAAAGACCTGGGAGTGGGAGTCACAGGGTGTTGGTAGTATTGTTTCAGCTGGAATCCTTTCCCTCCCCACACCGGGAATCACAGTATGGTTTTGGTCAGATGGACCAACTTGGCCTTGAAACTTGTCTAACTAACTGTGTCCCCAGGGCAGCAAGTCAGTTGACATCTCTGAGCCTGTTTGCTGATCTGCAAGATAGGGACAGAAATAGCTCCTGGGATGGTTATTGTGTGGATCACATTTCTTGAATTCTGTAAATTACTTAGCCCTGTGCTCGTGTGTAATTGGTGCTCAGTAGATGTTAATTTTCTCTTCTGCTTCCTTCCCTCTCTCATGTCCCTTTTCACTGGTTCTCTGTGCTCGCTGATACTTCTTTGTATCCTGTGAGCCTGAGAAAGGGAAGCTGCTGTCCTCATGCCACTGAGATCATGGTCTTCCACTAGAAGGAGCCAACTAAAAGACCCATAGGGAGGCAGAGTTGGAACCAAGATCATAGTATAGGAAGGAAGTCACTCTACTCCCTGCCACAGCTCCTGGGCCCTGATCCTGACATAGACTCTCTCCTCAGGGTATACTCTTTTCCTAGCTTGGTGCTTCCCTGGTTCCAGGGCCCATCCTGTCTTTCTCCCTTCATCAGACAATGGAGCTTGCTCGGAATCCCGCCATGATGCAAGAGATGATGCGGAACCAGGACCGGGCCCTGAGCAACCTTGAGAGCATCCCTGGAGGGTATAACGCCCTCCGCCGCATGTACACGGACATCCAGGAGCCTATGTTCAGTGCTGCCCGTGAACAGGTGGGGCCCGAGTCTGGGGCAGTGGGAGGGGTTATCTGGGCTCAAGATTCCCTACCCTCAGCTCAGGCAGGCCTGGGTCTGCTCCCCTTTCCTTCCCCAGCCCCCTGAGGGGTGGACCTTGGCTTGAAGGCAGTTCTCCACTGTGTATATCCAGGGATGTTCCAGCTTGGCATAGACAAAAGATAGCAGAGGTTCTGAGGGAGATGGGTGAGGCATAGTATCAAGGGACTGGACATTGTTCTAACAAATTTCTTACACCAGTGGCTCAAAGGTCATGTTGCAGGCCTGGAGTCAAATACCAACCATAGTACAGCATGTCTCAAGTGTAGTCCATGGATCACCTGCATCAGAATCACCTGGGGAGCTTGTTAAATGCCTGTAATCCTGGTGCTTTGAGAGGCTGCCAGGAGGCTCACTTGAGGCCAGGAGTTCAAGGCCAGCCTGGGCAACATAGCAAAACTTCAACTCTCCAAAAAAATTATTCAAAACCAGGTGCAGTGACTCACACCTCTAATCCTAGCACTTTGGGAGGCTGAGGCAGGAGAATTGCTTGAGGACAGGAGTTCAAGATCAGCCTGGGTAACATAGTGAGACCTCATCTCTATAAAAAAATAAAAAAATTAGCCAGGCATGGTGGTATACACTTATAGTCCCACCTACTTGGGTATCTGAGGAGGAAGGGTCATTTGAGTCAAGCAAATCAAAACTACAGTGAGCTGTGATTGTGCTACTGCACTCCAGTCTGGGCAACAGAGTGAGAACCTGACTAGGAAAAAAAAATTGTTCCAAAAATTTAAGTAAATGAGAATCCTGGTCCTCACCTTTGAGCTACTTATTGACTCAGTCTCTGGGGTCAGACCACCAGATTATGCACTTTTTAAAGTGCTTTATGGGAGCCAGGCTCGGTGGCTCAGCCTGTAATACCGCGCCTTTGGGAGGCTGAGGTGAGTGGATTGCCTGAGCCCGCGGGTTCGAGACCCACCTGGGCAGCGAGACCTCATCTCTACAATAAATCAAAAAATCAGCCAGGCGTGGTAGCGCATGCCTATAATTCCGGCTACTCGGATGGCTGAGGCGGAAGGATTGCCGGAGCCCAGC